TTTACCGGATTTTTCCAGAGCATAGGGGCGGGGAGGAGGTGGCAGCGCTTCCAGTCCAACTCAGTCTCTAACCCTCCAGATCTTCGACGGTCAACGGGTATTCTTCGTTGAGGAGCTTCTGCTCAAATTCCCGTTTCTGTTGCTGTAGCTGTGGCACAGTGTGCGTGAAGAATCCGTATAGCTGGATACACAGCAAGCCGGCGAAAGCAACCGTGCTGCCAATCAGAAACGTGACTGCCGCCTTGTGCAAACGATCGTAATATTTCGACAGCCTTTTAACAGGCTTCTTGTACAACATGAATCTAAAACGTTCATTATATAACAGCACAATCATAAATTAAAGACGCGCAACGGAAACTGCACTTATTTGGCCATTCGTGACACTGTCCCCCTGCAATACCGTTTTATAAATAAATTCGTTACAACGAGAAATAAAGTAAGCAAGGACCTAACCTTAAAGAAAAACAGCAGATAGGTCATAAGGTTTTCACAACGGGGTTCATTGACCACAACAAGAACTTACTGTCTGATCACAACAGTCAAAAACATCAAACAAGCAGAAAATAAAGCAATAAATCCAATGTACGGTGATTAATACAAGAACGCATCAACACATCATAACAGTTAATAGAAATAATAAAACCATAAAGCAGGGTTCAAAACAAGACACAATGACGAAGTTTAATTCAGACACTACTCTGCGTTGGTCAGTGAATAGAAGAAATTCGAACGAATTTACCATATTTTTGTTCGTAATCGCAAAGAAATTCGAACGCGAAAAAATTACAAAGAACTAACTGCTACCCCCAAGTCAGAAATTTAATCCTATACCGTACTTTTCAAATATATTACTGTACACCAATTTGTGTCTCATCTGTCGACAACAAACGATCCCGAAGTCACAAAACAGCGGCATAATTTCGCTTTTGGAAATCTGGATAGCCTTCCTTTACAAAATATTTTCTGCTAATATCAACTGCTGAATATAGATGCAAAAAGAATGACAAATGTTACGTCCATTCAAAAAATTTATAAAACGGCGTACAACATTTGTGCTCAGGATTTTTTCCGCTTCGAATAAACCCTTTTTTCCATGAAACATGTTATGAGAAAAGTTCATCATGAATTATAAAGACTTTCACTTTTAACACAAGAGAAGAACAATATTTCGACCAAATCACTGTTGGTCCTTCATCGTCGTTTTGTTACGGTTACGGCTTTATCTTTCTACATTTTAGCTTTCAGGCGGGCAAAGGAAAATCGCAATACCCTGAAGACAAATGCATCAGATAGCATGGCCGTAGATTTCGTCCACTATAGCTTAACAACACTAGAGCAGCATGTTAATTTTGGAAATCTGCTCCTGGAGTAATTATGCGTAACATGACATATCCTGCCTATGATGTTCAGCTTATCGACCCGGGCCGCTTTTTATGTCGTAGCGTATAAGGAATACCAGTTCCTGAAACATAGTTCGTACTGAGAACAAGATGGCAACAGCAAACAAAATAATATGAGATGCATCTTGTACTGCAGGCATGTAATACCACGGAGCCACGGCCTGCTTAAATGCTTTCACCCTCTCTAGGCAACTGAGAACAAGGCGACAGTATAATACACCGTTAAATTTGGACAGAAGTT